GGCCTCATCTCTGCATCCCCAGCTGCAGGCCTGGCTTTCCACAAACGGGTGCCTCCCCATGCTTCCAGATCATCCACCCAGCAAGTTTTTATGAGCGGCCCTGTTCTAGGCGTTAGGGGTAAAGCTGAAGATCCCTGCCCTCCTGAGTTGACATTTGACTGTCCCCAACTTAGCTAATGACACTCCATCCTTCTATTTGCTCAGGACAAAAATCACGGCATCATCCTTAACCCCTCCACCTCCCCCTGATATTCAATCTTTCAGAAAATCCTCTTGGTCCCACCCTCAAAATACAAGAAATGAGCAGCAGTTATGTTAATGAGGCGGGACTCAATCTACAAGATTGGGTTGTGTCTTGAGCCAATCTCTTTCGAGATATAAAAGAGAGAAGCGAGCAGAGAGACGGGGACCTCATACCACCAAGAAAGAAGCACCAGGATCATAGCACATCCTTTGGACCCGGGGTGCCTGCACCTGAGAAGCTCCTAGACCAGGGGAAGATTGATAACAAGGACCTTCCTCTAGAGCCAACAGAGAGAGAAAGCTTTCCTCTGGAGCTGATGCCCTGAATTTGGACTTCTAGCCTGCTAGACTGTGAGAGAATAAACTTCTATTTGTTGAAGAAAAAAAAAAAAATACAACCAGAATCTGCCCCCTTCTCCCCTTCTCCCCACTCCATAGCCCCTACCCTGATCCTGTCCACTGTCGTCTCTTGCCTGCACCATTGAAGCCCCCTCCTCCCTGGTCTCCCTTCTCCCCCTCCCCATAGTTTGGTCCCACAGGCAGCCAAGGACCCTGCAAATCCCTGAGTCAGGCCACGTCCCTCTCCTCCTCAGAATTCTCCTGTGGCTCCATCTCACAGTACCATCTGCCCCCAACACCCCCTACCACTTGCCCCTCACTGGCTCTGCTCCAGCCACACTGAGTCTTCTTTCTGTTATGGCATGCAATAAGACAAGTTCATTCCAACCTCAGGGCCTTTGCACAGCCATTCCCTCTGTCAAAGCAGCTTTCCTACTCTTCAAGTTTAAAACCACTTACTTCAAAAAAATAAATAAATAAAGAGCATTTTATTCACCATTTCTGAGCAGTAAGAGGGCAGGGAACAGGTCTGTATTACTCATTTCTTTCTCCCTCCCCACCCGCCACACACCCGGGACAGCCTGGGTACTTGACAATTGTTTGTGGAATGTTATTCTCAGTCTGTCTGTCACTAGCTGTCTCTCTCTGTCTCTGTTTTTCTGTTTCCAATCTCCCTGGCTTTCTCTGTCACTATTTTGCTGTCTCTCTCCGTCTTTCAGTCCCTGTCCTCCAACCCCTGAAGGATCAAGCATGCCCCTGTCCCAGCCCGCCTGCCCGCACCCCTACATCTCCTGCCAAGCACCCACCTTCTTCTTGAGCACGCCAAGCCGCAGGGCCTTGGGGTCTGTGGCAGCATAGGTGAGCCACAGGCCCGAGGCCACGTGCTGCACGAAGCACAGCGACTCGCCATACTTGATCTCAGGGGGGCCCATGCCCTCCACGTCCCGCTTGGGGCCCACATCCAGCTTTTCCTACAGGGGCAGGGGGCAGAGGTCAGCTCGCTCAGAGACCCACTGAGGGACTGCAGAGTGGGGCTGGGTGGGGGGACGTGGGGCTCCAGGCACCCTGAGCCCCACCGACCTTGGAGATGCGAAAGCAGAAGGAGGTGGCCTTGGTGTGGGCCTTGGAGGCATCAACCACCACCAGGCCCTGGTCCTCAGTGAGCCCCAGGTACCGCCCCGTGGTGACATGCCGGATGCGAAGAGGCTGGCCCCAGCGCAGGTGACTCCCACTCCAGCTGCAGAAGGTGAGAGCGAGAAGACTTAGAGGACCCCAATCCTCCCACAGACACCACAGTCTTGGTCCAAACCTCCTCCAGTCCCCAAGCCTCTTCCAGGGTGCCCCAAACCTTCCTCTGTGCCCCTAGCCCTCTACCAGGGCCCCAGTCTTCCCTCGGTAATCCCAATCCTGTCTGTCCCCCAAAGCTTCCTCACGGCTGCCCAAATGTCTCCAGTGGCCACAGTTTTCCTAGATTCTTCCTTTTCTACCCCTAAACTCCCCACACTTTCATTCTGGACTCTCTGATCTCTCCCTCAGGAATCCCCAATCCTCCCCCAAGACCTCTTTCTCCAGACTCCAGGATCCCCGAGGGCCTTCACTTCTCTCTTGAACTTCCTAGGTTTTCCCTCAAAACCCTCCAGTCTCTTCCTAAAACCTTCCTTCAAGACCCTTTCTCCCCTCCAGGCCCTCCAAGGCCCCAGCCCACCACACCTTGCCTCTCACCTGATTCTCAGCGGCTCCAGTCTCCAGAGGGAGCGGGCGTGGGTGCATACAGATCCCCCCTCGTAGTAGACAAGTCTGGGAACGCAGGAGGGAGTAAGCCCCCCACTGGCCATTGACTCCAGACCCCCCAGAATCTGATTCTCCAGCTGACCCATAGGACCCCCACTCCTCAGCTGACCTTTGTCTCCTGCCGCCCCAGACCCTAGGTCCCCTTGTCCCCAGCCCAAACCTGCGCTGGTCATCACTGTCAGCGGGGGAAATGGTCAGACATTCATCCATGTGTCCATGAAAGAGGCGGAGGACGTGACCCCCAGTCACGTAGCCTGGAAAGGGGCAGAGGAAGCTGGAGCCCCAGAAAGGCCCAGGGGCCAAGCTGGAGTCTGGGGGCCCTGCTTCTCCCACTACAGGAGGCTAGGGGCTGAGTTTTGATGTTTGAGGTGATGAGTCTTAGGTTTGGGGGTCTGCATGTGGGGGTCTGAGTTTCAGGGTACAAAGCAGTGGTCTGAGATTTGAGGTCAAGTTTGAGGCCTGAAGGAGGGGTATGAGATTTGGTGTCTGAGGTTGGGTGCCTAAGTTTAGGGGTCTGGGTTTGCAGGGCTGAGGTTGGTGGGTGGTGGGGGGTTGTGAATTTGTAGGTCTGTCTGGGTTCCCACCACCCGTCTGTCAGTTTGTCGTGCTGTGGTGGCTTACAAGTTGCTGTGATGCTGGAAGAAATGCTACCAGTATTTCAAATACTAGCGGGGTCACCCATGGTGGACAGGTTTCAGTGGAGCTTCCAGACTAAGACAGACTAGGAAGAAGGACCTGATAATCTACTTCTTTAACCAATGAAAACCCTATGGATCACAACAGAAAATTGTCCCGTATGTTGCCGGAAGATGAGCCCCCTAGGTTGGAAGGCGCTGTGCAATGGTTGCAACAGTGGACCCAAACATGCCAACGATCAGAAGATGGTGCAGAACTAGGCAACATTTCGTTCCGTTGTACACAGGGTCGCCATGAGCTGGAGCTGACTCAGTGTCACTAACAACAACAGGTCTGAGTTTAAGGGTCTGAATTTAGAGTTTTGGGGTTTAGGGTTCAGATTATATGGTCAGAGGTACGGGTCTAATATTCTGACACTGGGGTCTGAGTTTTAGGGTTTAAGGTTTGGGGTCTGGGTTGAGAGATGTTATGGTTGGTTGTGATGTTAGGGTCTGAGTTTTGAGTTTTGGGGGTCTGAGGTTGGTGTCTGAAGTTTGGGGTATGAGTTTGGAGAAATCTGAACCTTGTAGTTCGAAGTTGGTGGGTCTGAGTTTCAGGATCTGAGGTTAAGGTCTGAGTCTTGGGACCTATGGTTTTGGGTCTCAGGTTGGGCTGGTTTGGGGGTCTGAAGTTTTGGGTGAGAGAGTTGGGATCTAGGTTTTGAGGGCATGCTTTGGAGTCTTAAATTGAGGTCTGAATTGGGGAATTTGATTTTGAAGGTTTGATTTTTGAGGACTGGGATTTTGAGTCAGAGGTTGGAGGTCTGAGGTAGGTGGTCTGAGGTTTGGAGTCTGAATTAGGGTCTTGGTTTGGGGATCTGAGGTCTGAATTTGGGAGTCTGAGACTGTGGTCTGTCCTTGTTGGCTGAGGGTTGGGTCTGAGGAATAAGCTCTGCATCTGGTTTTCTAAGCTTTTGGATCCGGGTTTAGGGGTGTGACTTGAGGCTCTGAGACTGGTGTTTGAGCTTTGGGGACTAAGGCTTTGGACTGTGAGTTTGGAGTCTAATATTGAGTTCTGGGCAGGGGAGTCTGAACTTTGGGTTTCTGGATTTGGGGTCACACTCAGAGATCTAACTGCGAGGCTCATAGTTTGGAGATCTAGGTTTGGGGTCTGACGTTTCAAGTCTCAGTTTGGGCATGTCTGGGGGGCAGTGCTAGGGGTCTGTTTTGGGGGCCTCAGTTTAGGGGCCTAAGGTCTGGGGTCCTCACCTTCTTCACAGCAGTAGGAGATGGGGTTCATGTTCCACAGTGTCTGCATGAAGGAGGCATCAACCTGGAGTTCTCCACTGGCCGTTGACAGGTGCTAGGGGGCGACCAGGAGGTGATGGTCAGAGATGGTTGGGAGGGGTGGGCTAGGGTCTTAGAGTCAGAGGTCAAAAATTGGGGGTGCGTGCCAGGAGACCCACAGATGGGAGTCGGAAAATTCACAGACCAGGAAATCGAGGTCAGACGGAGAAACAGGAGGTCAGAAATCGGAAGCGTGGAGTCAGAGGTCAGGAATCTGGAAACTGGGAGTCGGGAAGCCGGGGACCAGGGACCGGCCAGGCAAACTAACGCTAAGGAGATGGTGCCCCGGTCAGGTCCACCTCAGCCTGGGAGCACAGGAGCCGTGATAGGGTGGGATTGCTCACCAGGTAGCGCTCGGAGGAGACACTGACAAGGATGAGGTCATCTCCAACACGGACCTTTTCTCCTTCCGATCTCTGCTTGGAGGCTGGGTGTGTTGTCCACCAGCAGGCCTCTCCTATGCGGGGAGGGCAGAGGCAGGGGGAAGAAAGGGGGGTGTTAGAATGACAGGTCCCAGAATAGCCTTTCTCAGGGCATTCCCAGCCCCTGGGCCTCGCAGGAAGTCTACCCTCACTTCCCCCAGGGCCCTGCCCCTCGTTCTTCTATTGCTGCCACCAATATCCCCATTCCTGCCCTCAGACCCTCTGCCTCAAAGGCCCCCATCCCTGCCCCTAGAGCATTCCTGTTCCTGCCCCCTCCTCCTGCCTGCGGTGCCCTCATAGCCCCCCGCCCCCGGCCCCTGCACCTGTGGCATCCTCCTGCAGTCCCACGTCGAAGGCCAGCTTGTCCGTCATGGAGCGGGAGGTGGTGAGGCAGCTCAGGTACTAGGATTGTAGAGAGGAGTCAGCCTGCTTCCGGCTGGCCCTGCACTCCCAGCCCCTGCCCACACCCCCAACCTCCCGTCCCCCAAGCACTCACCATGCGGCTGTGGGCATGCCGGAGCAGGATGGCGTGGCCGTACAGGAGCGTTCTGTGTCCCCCACCCTGGGACGACTGGGGGAAGAGGGAGAGCACATAGTAAGCACAGACCCCCAGACTCTCAAGACCCATCCCCTAAGATGCCAAGTCCATTCCCGAGTGACTCTTTCCTGCTCCCCATAAAATACCATTCACAGGCCTGGAGATAAAAAATAGCCTCAGCTCAGACCCTCGGCAGAGCCTCTGCCTCAGTCTCCCCATTCACGGAAGCAGCAGCTGTGTCTCTGAGAAGCCTGGGGATGGAGTGTTTTATATTCCCTGAGCCCACTCTGTCCTCCCTGCCTCAGCCACCTTGTTGGCCAGCCCTAGAAGCCACTCAGGGAGGCTGAGCCCATCCTTGAGGTACCTGGGGACGCTCAGGAAGAGCCCAGAATCTCATGTTCCATGGGCTTCGGCCCTCCCTACCCTAACCTGTCATAGCCCAGCTGGTGTGCACCGGTACTGTCTGCCAGTTGTCAAATGTTTGAACATCACCCGTAGTGATCAGGGACCCCCCTGTGCTGCCGCACCCCTCCCGAGTGCAGGGAGACCCGGCCCTCTGGAGGGCGGGAGGTCCACCCGGTAGCTTGACAGCATCATGCCCCCGCCCTGGCTCTCACATGCCCATGCTCTGAGGGAGCCATGTGATGGTGCCACCTGATCACATGGCAGGGCCACTCCTGGGCCAGGGAGGGGGCACCCACACTTGGGATGGATGAAGGTGAAGGGTGAGGTCCCATGCAGAGAGGGACGGGGATCAGAGTGAGGGGAAAGGATGGGAAAGAGGAGAAAGGAGGGGGGAGGAGGGAGAATGGGGCTCAGAAGCCCCCTCCTCCTTCCTTCCTGCCTGCCTGCCTGGCCTGGTCTGGGCTCCACAGCCCCTGACAACAGGGGCGGGCGGGTGAAACCGCCAGCCCTGTGTGCAGGAATGTGGGCCCGAGAGGCGGGCCTGGGGTCAGGAGGAATGAGGACACCCCAAGGCCAGACCTACCCACTTATCCAAATTGAGGGCCTGTGGGGCGGGGTGGAGAGAGGAAGAAGAGCAGATGGTAAACAACCCCAGTTCTCTCCCCCATCCCTGCCCCCGCACCCACCCCAGGGCAAGGCACCCACCCCAGGGCGGGAGCCTCACCTCCACGCCGGCCTCCACGGTGTTGGCCAGCATCTCCTGCAGGGCACGGACGGACAGCGACTGCTCCAGAACGAAGCAGCAGATGGCCAGGTCAGGTGGCACATTCTGGGGTGGGGTGAGGAGACGTGAGTGGGGGGCCTGAAGACCCCACAGCAGCATTCCCTGGTACACCTTCTGGCCGTGGTCTGAATCCCCAAACCCCTCAGACACCCAGACCCCTCCCCAATGCCACAAGAAGCCCCTGCCCTCTGCCACCCCTTCAGACACACTGCATCCGCAGCAACATCCCAGAAAACATCTTTCTATGCCTCCTCCCGCAAACACCTAAGCCTACTGCCGTCGAGTCGATTCCCACTCATAGCAGCCCTATAGGACAGAGTAGAACTGCTCTATAGGGTTTCCAAGTCTGTAATCTTTACAGATGAAGACTGCCACATCCTTCTCCCGGAGAGTGGCTGGAGGGTTTGAACCACCGACCTTTCCGTTAGTAGCCAAGCGCTTAACCACTGTGCCACCAGGACCCCTTTCCAAACACCTAAACTCCACCCAAACCTCACAGAAGCCTCCACCTTACCCTCCCCACTCGAGTACCCTAAACGCCCCCCTAACCTGATAGGAAGCCCCAGCCCTATGCCTCCCCATCAGGCACACTGCCCCGTGCTCCACCCTACCGGAAGCTTCTGCTCTATGCCTTCTCCCTTCAGATAACCCCAAATCTCTCCAGTCCCAGAGGGAGCCCTACCTCATGCCTTCAACATCAGGCAGTTCCAGTTCCAGCCTTCTCCCTCGGACACATGTTAACACCACTTCAAAGTCACAGGAGGAGCCAAACTTATGCCTCCCTCCTCGGTCTCCCATCCCAGTCACCTCGGACCCCTAGACACCCTTCCTCTTGGACCCAAGACTCTGCCCCCCTCAGGCCCCTGCTCGCCAGACCCCCAGGCCCCCCCATCAGAGTCCATATCCCCTCCGTCAGCCCCCTGCCCCATTCCCCAGGTCTCCCCTGTCTCAAATCCTGAGTCCACCTCACCCTCTGGCCCCGTCTCCCCTCAGACCCAGGCGCCCTCCTCCCCTCCAATCACCTCCCCAACAAGCCCCCCTGCTGTCATCCTCCTGACCTCCCCACTCCCTTCACCTTGAATCCAGGGCCCTCTGCCTCCTCAGTCCCCCAGCTGCTCTCCACCTGTAGAACCCCAAGCCTCAGACCCTGGATCACCTTACCTTCAGACCTCTTGCGCTCTGAGACCCTCGAGCCCCTACCTCTCTCAGTCCCAGCCCCCTCCCTGACAGTGCCCTCCCCTGTAAAACACCTAGGTCCCCTCTCCCTTGGACCCAAGGCCTGTTGTCCCTTAAAGACCCTTGCCCTCTCAGCGCCCTGTTCCTCCCTTCTGAGAGCCCCCACCCCTACTCCTCAGGCCCCTTTCCATTGGGCCCAAGGCTTTCTGCCCCCTCAAATCTCTGCATTTTTAGCCCACCAGACTCCCTTCCCCTCCCTTCTCAGATTCCTGGCCTCTTTTCCCTCTTAGCCCGCAACCTGTTCCTTGTCCAGGCAGCACCCCCTCTTCAAACCCCAGACCCCTCTTCTTTGGACCCAAGACCCTCCGCACCCTCAGACTCCCTCCCTCTCCCCCAGGCACAGACCTGGGCGTTGCTGGTGGGCTCCAGGAAGCAGAGGCGGTTACCAAAGCCCTCGGCTGCCAGGCACAGCTTCAGCTGCTCCTTCAGCACTGTGGCATTGCACTGCAGGACCACCTCGTCGTCCTGTGGGGCAGCACTGAGGATCAGGCACAGCCTTGCCCACATACCATGGCCTGCTCTCCCCACCGTTCCCTTTTATGAAAAGATTTATAATTGTTGTGTGCCGTCAAGTCCATTCTGACTCATAGTGACCCTCTATGGCAGATAGAACTGCCCATAGGGTTTCCTAGGCTGTAATCTTTACGGGAGCAGATCGCCAGGTCTTTTCTCCCTCTGAGCCGTTGGTGGGTTCGAACCACTGACCTTTTCTGTTACCAGCTGAGTGTTTAACCATTGTACCACTAGGGCTTCTTATGAAAAGATAGCTATTAGTAATACCCACGCCTCCCCCTCCCCAATTTATCAAGCCAAGCCCTGTGCTGAGTGTTATAGGGACTCCTGACAGACTCATGAGATAGGAGCCATTTTAAAATGGGGAAACTGAAGCACAGGAAGGGACATTGCTTACCCAAGACTACACAGCTGGTGAGTGGAGGAGCTGGGATTTGAACCTGAGTCTGGCTAACTCCAGAGGCCTCCTAGGTGGAGTATGCAAGGTGAGCCACTGGAGGGTGGGATATACGCACACCTCACACTAAATTGCTTTTTAAACCCATACTTCTCAATTAAGGGGTGCTTTCTAATGACATCGGAATGCAACGTGAGCTCCTGGATTGGATCCTGGATGGAGGGAGAAATGCTATAAAGGACAGTATTGAGACAATTAGTGAAAGTTGAATAAGGACTGAGGATTTGATAATGAAGTCATATCAATACTAAATGTTCTGATTTTGATACTTGCACTGTGGTTTTGTAAGAGACTGCCCTTGTTTTTTAGGAAACACAAACTGAAGTATTTAGGGGTGTAATGAAATGTGTCCCCCAAAGATGTTGTTGTTATTGTTGTTAGGTGCTGTCGAGTAGGTTCCAGCTCATAGCAACCCTATGTACAACAGAATGAAACACTGCCCAGTCCTGCGCCATCCTCCAATCATTGTTATGCTTGAGCCCA